TTATGCTTTTGCATGTTTAGTAGATCACAGGATAGCCTTAACATGACTTCTATGTGTCTTGGGAAACCAAAACATTCATTTGACTTGTCTGATTGAAATATTTGCTTTATTGTGGTTGTCTGGAACCAAAGCTGCAATATCTCTATGGTGTGCCTGTAGTAAGTAAGGGCAAATGAATAAATAAATAGATTAGGCTGTGAGGGAAATACAGTATTACACTGGTGGCTTGGGACAGGCCCTGCGTGAAGGCTGATATTGTCTCTTAACTCAATTATACCAGATGTCTGAAAGAAAACAGTCCTGCTTTTGGAATGAAACCCAGTCAAATGGAAGCCTGCAACTCTGACTGCCATGGTCTGGGTGACGCTTTGGTCATATGCTATGATCGTGGGCTAGATTAATTGCTTGTGACCAAGTGGAACTCTAGTAAGGTTCCCTTGTCTTTGAGTCTTATTTTTTAGGTTGCATCTATTGCCATTCTACAAAACTGTATCAGGAAATTGTGGTAAAGCCTCTTTGCTGTGTAATGGTAGTGGAAAATGACTGGCCTGAGGAAGAGCTGAATTTGCAAAACATTCGTTACTTTCTAAGCTCAATTATTTTGTACGAATTTCTAGTGTAATGTATAAATAAAGGTAGATCAAATTAGAAAAACATGAAAATGGATGTGATCACTTTATAGGATGGATTAACCATTTATTTAAATTTATCCATATTCTACATTGGCAGCACCAAATGTTAGGCATATGATCTTTTTGCTGCAAGAGTCTTAGATAAGGATGTGGGTGAGGGGATTGCCTGTGTGATAAAGAATTTATCCTCACTCTAAAAGCTTCTGGGAGGTAATCTCTGAGTTTCAGGAATGTCATGCTTGGTAAGAGGGTCTTGGTTTGCATGGAGATCCTGGGTCATACACTGTGTGACCTGGGGTAGGGATTGGCTATACCAGATAGTCTTAGGGAGGCAATGGCCCCAACAGGTAGTCATAATGTGATTGGGGGGAGGGGGGATTTGAGTCATGCCTTATTGGCTGACATGAGTCATGTGGGCAATCAATCATGCCTATTGATGGAGCCTAAGTAAAGAGTCTGAGGCTCAGGAAAGCTCTCCTGATTGGCAATATTCTGAGTGCATTGAAAGTAATGCAGTCTATGAGGCCTGGGAGGAGCGAAAATAAAGATTCTTTATTGGGTTGTTTTTTGGACTCTGCCTTTGGTGAGGCCTCTATTGGATGATTTTAATCTGTACGCTTTAGCTGCAATGAATGAAACCATGAGTATGACAGTTGTATGTCTCTCTAGTAATCATCAAATTGTGAGTTGTTAAGGGAACCTCTTAAACATGCAGTTTGTGTCCCATTGGAGGCATCTTTTGGAATATATTCCTTCCAACTTAATTGTAGGCCAACTGCCACATCCTAAATCCCAGCTTTTGGTGATTCTCATGTATAAGTATTCACACAGTGGTCAATTTTAAGTTAACATGCGTACAATTAATTAAACTTCAAGAATCTGTTCTTGTGAATTAGTGTGAGTCAACTTCCACATACCTTCCCTGTTCCAATTGGTTTGATAAAAATCTGTTTATTTCTAGCATACCCATAGTACCAATCTTCAAGTTTATTTTATATCCATTATTTTAGTCATTACATGTAATCTTATATCATTGATGCTTGACATAAAATGTGTAAAATACCCAATATTTCAATTCTGAAAATGAATATAAGAAACTTAGAGAACTTTTATTAAAATTACCTCTCATGCTATCTGTGTTTGCCTTGTATTTTAATTCACCCTGTGCATATACATTTTACGATGATTATGTTTTACAGACTCAGTGGTTTGTTTAAAATTATCCTACCAATATACCAATTTCACAATACATCAATGCTTCTTGGACATCACTTACTCTAGATTCAGTTTATTTTAGCCCAAAGCATATCCTTTAATGGTTCTTTCAGCAAAGATCTATGCATGCTATCTTCTCATAGTCTTTATCTGAAATGAGTATATTCAGTCAAGGTCCCCTGAAGTAAGTCTTGAAACCTGTACTTTATTAAGAGCTCAAGGTCCAAAACATATATAACCTAGTGTTGCAAAGAGTACAGGTAGGAAATTCGGTAAGAACACATCTCATTTTCCATAATAATGTTCATAGCATTCATGTACCTTCCCTTTTTCAATACTTCCAGAGGAATCATGCCAATGGAAGCCAGGAACCACACAAGTCCATCAGGATTCATCCTCATGGGGCTTTCTGATGATCCAGAGCAGGAGTATCTCCTCTTTTCTCTGTTCCTCTGCATGTATGTGGTCACGGCCTTAGGGAACCTGTCCATCATGCTGGCCATCAGCTCAGATGCCCACCTCCACACCCCCATGTACTTCTTCTTAGCCAATCTCTCCTTGGTTGACTTTGGCCTGGCCACCAACACTGTTCCCAAGATGCTGGTGAATATCCAGACCAAGAGCAAGTTCATCTCCTATGCCTGCTGCCTGACCCAAATGTACTTCTTCCATTTCTTTGGCATTGTTGACAGTGTCTTAATAGCCGTGATGGCTTATGACAGGTTCGTGGCTATATGCCACCCCTTACACTACACCACTGTCATGAGCCCCCGCCTCTGTGCCCTGCTGGCCAGTACCCCATGGGTGTTTTCCTGCTTCATCTCCCTCACTCACATCCTCCTGATGACACGCCTGGTTTTCTGCAGCAACAATGAGTTAACTCATTACTTCTGTGACCTCACCCCACTTCTCAGGCTTTCTTGCACTGACACCTCAGTGAACAAGATGTTTGTGCTCATCGTGGCTGGGCTGGTGATTGCCACACCTTTCCTCTGCATCCTGGCCTCCTATGCCCGCATCATCATTACCATCCTGCAGGTCCCCTCTGCAGGTGGCAGGAAGAAAGCCTTTTCCACCTGCAGTTCTCACCTCTCTGTGGTTGCCCTCTTATATGGGACCACCATTGGGGTCTATCTGTGTCCCTCATCTGTACACACAGCCATGAAAGAGAAAGCCTCTGCTGTGATGTACACTGCAGTCACTCCCATGCTGAACCCTTTCATCTACAGCCTGAGGAACAGGGACCTGAAGGAGGCCCTGAAGCATCTCATCAACAAAAAAATCACCTCATCTTCCTGACCACAAGGACACCTGGGAACTTCCCAGGAAGTATCATCACAGCATCGAGGGTCTTGGACAAAAGTGTGAAATAGCATTGTTTGGAAGAGTTGAATTTTGAGTTTCAGAAGTTTAAAATGAAACCTCAAGGTGATCTTGTAACTATTTTCTCAATTACCAGGACCAGTAAGGGTCCTACTGGGGTATGCCTCAAGGTGTCTTTCCAGAAATATCAGTTTTGTCTTACCAGATTGGATTTATACTTGTTCTGAATCCATTTAGCACTCAACAAATGTTTGTTGAGTACTTATTCTGGGCTTGGTGTTCCATGCTGGTCATAAAGTGGTAATCAGGAGAGACAAGACACCTACAGCTTGGAGTTTATTGTTGGGTGTGGGAGAAGATACTGGTCACTTAATTGTAATGGAATGGAATGTGAACTTGGCAGGAAGGATAGGATACAATAGGAGCACCCAACAATGTGTAAGGGAGAATTAGAGAAGGCTTTTCTGGGAGAGGTGATTCTAAACCTGAAAGGTTATAATGATGTTTTCCAGGCATATATGAAGAGAACAGATGTCACACAAAGAAAACAGCATGTGTAAAGGTGAGAGAGCAGGACATAGAGAGAGAGAAGGACGTATTCATGAAGTCAAAGATCAACTTATGGTGATAACTCAGGGATGCCAGGTCGATAAAAGCATTAGGACCCTCCTGAGAGTGTGGACTTTCTCCTGAGAAGCAGGCAGTTAGTTTTACTTCATGGGACCAAAGTCAGGGAGCATGTGGATAAGACGCATGGCCTCCCCGCCCTTACCTCAATCCTGCCATCTCAGGGAGGGAGAAAGATGATGCGTGCTAGATCAAAATCATACAAGGTGAAGGAGAAAGACTTTCAGACCATGCATGGATGAAATGTAGAACCACCACCTGATGGCACCAACTTCACAGCCAAAGAGGAAAGTACCCATTAAATGAATCCTGACTCTAACCAGTAGAAAGTGGAGGCAAGTCTCAGTCACTATCTGTGTCTGTAGGATGCATATCGGTAGTTGCACTGCTTATAACAGGAATGAGAGCTATTTGTTGGGTGTTTTCCTTATGCAATTTTGCCACATTTCTTTACACCAGCTCATTTCATCATTTAAACATCTGTATGAAGGCAATACATTTCATTTATGGCTACTGTGGAGTAATCCTAATCGTCTTATGGAGACAAAACAAAAAAAGGAATGAGCAGTGACTTCTCATGGGCCATGAATTTTTAAAATATATTCTTTATGGAAGTATAGTTGATATGCAATGTTAGAATGGCTTCAAGTGTACAACATAGGGATTCAGCAGTTACACACATTATTAAACCTTCATCCAAACTAGTGTAGTTATTATCTGTCACTGTAAAAAGATGTTACAGAACCACTGACTATATTCTCTACGCTCCATGACTAATGTATACTGTGATTGAGATTTTGTGCCTCATAGATTTCCAAATGGTGCTAAGGAGCTGATATCATCTGAAGCAGAAGGGCTTTGAATAATCAACCATAAAATCTGCTCATGTTACTTTCTTTCCAGGAGAATTAAATTCAACTTGTTCTCAGTTGATCAAAGAGACCTCCAGACATGGCCCTGTTATAGACTGGAAAGATACTGCTTTCTGGTGGGTAGCCTTGTGAATAAAACTCAGAAGTGAAGAATATTGTAGTTTGTCATGGGGAGCAAGTCCTTGAGGCTGGTCAGAGCACTTTTAGAAATAACCAAAAATCTGGTGGAAGCTGAACCATGACTTTCTTTCCTCCTAAGTTTTCTATATTCTCCTGCCATATGTGTGTGGGTACAGTTGACACTTGAACAACACAGGGATTAGGGGTATCAATAGCTCTGCACTGTTGAAAATCTGGGCATAATTTCTGACACCCCGGAAAACCTAACTACTAATAGCCTGGTGTTGACAGGATCCCTTATTGATAACACAAACAAGTAATTCACACATATTTTGTATGTGCTACATACTATACAACATATTCTTACAATACAGCAAGACATAAAATACTTTTTCAAATTGTCACAAATCTCCAAAAAATTTTCCAATATATTTATTGAAAAAATATCTGCATATAATTGGACTTGAGCAGTTCAAATCCTTTTTGTTCAAGGGTTACAATGCTGGTTGGAATGACTGGAGAGCTGGGGAGGATTATTAGAACTTTGGGGCTCATAGAATCTTGTGAAAACCTATTTCTCTGTATCCAGCTGGAGCTGAGGCACTAATTTAGCTCCATCTTCCCACTATGCAATAAAGGATGCCTCACACCAATAAAAATCTAAAATTCTGTCAGCCAAACTACCTCTGTCATGTTTTGTGTTAAGTCAAGGTCAGGACTCCAGGAGAGATCTGTCCTGGTCACCCTTACAACATGTGTTGCCATCAACATATGTTTCCTCCATTCATTCAGCAAATACTTAGCAAATACCTACTCTATGCACTGACAATAAATCAGTAAGCCAGTGGCTACAAAGGTTTAGTGCAAGGGGGTTTCTCTGTGAGAGGTAGAACTCTTCTGTATCTTAATATCAGAGTAATGATTTTAAAGGTGCAGAAATTTAAATGGTGCTCTACCTTCCTGATCCCACAAATCTATGTATGGGGTTAAATTCCCAAGAACTATACATGAGGAAAAAAAGTATTTTTGTCAATATTAATTGAAAAATAAAATTAAACAATAGAAGACAAAGCAACCATACCCAGTCCAACAGAGAAAATAGAAGTTAACAGAAGTAATGTATGTGTCAGATAATGACTGAAGTGAGAAAAAATTCAAAGGCAGAAAAGAGGGTATGGCAGAGACAGATAGAGAGTATTTTAATCTGGGTATTTCTGCGGGCAACCAGTCTGTTAAGATGACTTCTGACACCTGAATGTATTTCTGTAACAGAGGAGGGAACGGTGTGCCAGAAGAAGGGAATTACATAGGCAAAGTCAAGAAATAGCATTTAAATAAGTTGAGTTGTCTGTGGGAATTTTTTTAGATTTGTTCCCTTCTCAAACTTGGTATAAAATCCTGCAAGTGTTATAAACCTAACATATATCTTGGCTTAAGACACCAACAGTATTATCTCACAGTTTCTGTAGGTCAGGAAACTGGGAGTCACTAAGCTGGGTGACTTGGTATGACTCTCAATGCAATCAAGGTGTCAGCAGAGATGTGGCCACACATGGCCAAGTGGAACTTGGGATCAATCCCAAGTCACTGTGAGTAGGTATCAGTTCTTTGCTGATTGAAGACAACAGGGACTGGACATAGGGACCTCACCATAGGACAGAGAGAGGCAGAGAAACAGAGAGGCAGAAAGACATATACAAAGAGAAAGCAAGTCAGTAAGTCCAACCCACAGTTGAGAAGGAGGCATTCAGCTGGAGGAAATATCCGGGGGCAGGTCTTTGGGAACTTAGCCATCTTAGAGGCTGCCTGGCCCACCAGCATCCTCCTGGCTGCCCTCCTTTCAGGAGGACTGCATGCTGTGTCGTGGAGGTGGAGGGCTCCCTCAGAGCTGGACTTTGCACTGGTCTGGATGTTCGGAATAGAGACACAGAGGGGCAGCAGAAGCGTGCAGCTAAGATGTCTCATGCCCTTCAAGTCCCTTGAGCAGAAATCCAGAGACCACCTGTGTATCTGGTACAGACCTAGCTAATCATGGCTCCTTACCCCATTACCACAGGGAAGCCACAAGCTCAGTTTACCAAGGGCTTCCCAAGTTGGGCACATTAGAAGGTGGTCTGAAAGTGTCCCAGATTTCCCATCCTTCCCACCCCTAGTGTTAGGCAGGAAAATATGTATGAGCTGGGTGGAAAGAGATAAAGGCCAGAAACCTAAATTAATCAATTAAAGTTCAAAAAGCCAAGAGCAACTTGGCCTGGAATGTTTGAATATTTCCCAGATAAAGGAAGGTAACTCAGCATAGCCATGTCATTCTTGTGTTAATCATGCAGGCCCAGCTTACTTTCTTTACCTTTACCTATATGCTGATTTTTTCTCCTTCCAGCCCTAGTTAAGTACTTTGTAACCTAGGCAACTAATTTAGCATGCAGGCCCAGCCATGAACAACACAGTAAAAGGCATGAAATATTTCACCTTAAAGATTGTATTTTAATACCCAGAAAGTTAAAAATGTAAGATTCTTAACTTACACTTTAGCAAATAGGCAATAACTCAGCCTGCCTTGGGGGCTGTGCAGATAGCCTGTTTGATCTGCTCCCAGACCTAGATGCCGGTATCCCAGGGAGAAATCAGAGCAGGAACTTCCTTGTGTTAAGTTAATTATAAGAACTCAAAGACCACTTAACAAGTATGCACACCCAGCCCTTACTCACATTCCTAAAGAATCCTTAAAAGGGGGAATCCCCAGCCTCAGGGTGCTCCTCTCTCTGAGGACACACACAGTTTCTAAGTGGGTAAACTTTAAATCTTAAACTTTTTCTCTTCAAAACTTTCAGGATGCCTCTCCTTGCTGAAGTTGACTACTGCACTTCTCTCTTTAAGTTACTTTAAATGAAACTTAAACTCTGCTTCACTACTGTGTCTCTGCTCTTCAATTCTTTGTCATGGTGGGGACAAGGACTGAGGGAAATACACACTGCTCCCCAACACTAAGACTCCCTGACTCTTTGCACCCTCTTCCCACCCACCTGGACGGGGCCACCTGGGATCCAAATGCAGGAGGCCAACAGAGCTGCTGCATAGGGAGATCTTTCCAGAGAGGGAGAGAGAGAGATAGAGGTGGTGTTTGAGAGACTGAGGAAGGTACTGCAATCGTGATTAAAAATAAAACACTAGGAAGGGGAGGAGACAAGATGGTGACATGAGTAGTTCAGTGGAAATATCCTCCTAAAAACATATATATTTTTGAAAATACAACTATTCCCAAAAGAGAGAACAGTGGATACAGTACAACAGCCAGGCTACATCTATATCTATGAGAACTCAGCATCACACAAAGGGGGTCAGATACAAGCCACGGCC